AGACCAGTCAACAAATCTCAGGGGGGTTAACTTGTGACTCATAACATTAAATCATTAAATATCACAAACAGTCTCGAAGCCGCAAAGTCTATAGTTACACGCGAGAGCTGTCGTGTTTTATATTTTACTGCATGTTTGGACGTATGCAGTAAAGCACCTTGAAGTGGATTAATTTATGCAGTGTTAAAATAATAAATCATGAGTTTGTTTTTTTCACGGGCAATCTGTGGCTTATTCTGAACTGCACTTGTTTGTTTTTTTGCACAAATCTATAGTTGTAGTTCAATCATTTGCAGAATCCATGTGATTTGTTTTTACTTTAATCATTTACACACTTTGCAGTCGTCCTTTCAACATACTCTGCAATGACAGAAATGCATTAGCATCACATGTTTCTTGTATTCTTCTCTCACAATTTAGATGTGTTGCTTTCTGCCGTTTTCCTCCACGTTTTTTTGCATGCAAATTTTTGTATTGTGCAATACAGACTTGAACTTTCAGACATAATATGTGGATTTCATCTTCTTGTTTAGGCTCAAAACAGTCGAATTAAAACATTTAAACAAGAGGCAGTCAGTGCAAGAATGGCCACCGTCGCGACTTTCATGAAACACTCAAACTGTGTGACTGTGAAGTTCATCACGCACGAGCTTATTTTTACAACAAGCGCCTTTTTTTTGTACAGAAGTGGCAGCGGTAGTAGAAGTGAAAGAATAGGAAACAGAGTGAGGAGTGAGGAGATGGTGAGAGGGTGGGGGTCGTGTCTGTTCTAGTGTGGTTTGGGGGAGTTATTTGGTGTTAAAATATGCCTTAATGGTTGCTGGGGATCCATTTATTACAGGCAGGAAGCAGAAGGGGGTTTCTCTTCTCATTTAATGTGACCGCCGAGAAGCTCGCCAAGTCCTACAGGCAAGCCAGCATTCCTGTGCACCAACGCTGCACACACACACACACACTGGACTATGTTATACACCTAATTATACTGCAGTGCATGTAGTTTACATGCATGCATGTGTGTCGATGCATCATTTTAAGAACATACACGCATCGCGGTACTTCTAGAAAACTGGCAAATATGTGCGATCTCATAAAATGCACACACACAAATAGACTGTACTCGCTGGCAGTGAGAATGACCTTTTCTGAACCATGGAAACACACACATTAACACACACACACACACTTATACGCACAGAAAAGCCTCTGCAAAACATTTAGGCATGGCAGGGGCTGAGGTTATATAAAAAGTCTCTCGAGGGCTTATTAATTCACATTTGTTTTGCAGTTGTGAAGCTTGGTTTCTCTCCTTCTCACTCATCCCGTCTCTGTGTCTAGTTGTCGGTTTTCACTCATTTCTGGTCCGTCGTCGTTCACTTTCTCGGGGATGTATGCAGCTTCCTGCCGTTGCCACACTTTCTTCCCTTCTCTTTCTTTCCCTGTGTTCATCCAGCACAGAGCCATATCCAGCTTGACACCCTTTCCCAGCGTTAGGGAGGGTGTGTTAACACCTCGTCCCGCACACATGCCAGGGCCTAAAGACCCGTTTATGAAGTGTAGTGCTCCTGGCGTGTAAGTATGCACAGACATATTTATGCATCGATGGGCTTCGATTTCATATTTTTTTGTCTTGTTTTCAAAATATTCTAGAAAAAAAAAACAACTTAATTCCAGTGTAATAACTATGCGCCCCCCCAGTTGGCTCTTTTTAAAAAAATGTTGGCATGGTAACCTAATGGGAGACTAGGTGTGCCGATTGTGATCACAGCGAGTTTAACGACAGGCTGTCATGTCGTTTGGTCAAAATGCCAAATCAAATTATACAGTGTAACCACTTTTAAGGCAAGGTAACCATAGAGGCTTCACTTGGTTACTGCAGGCGCTCAATTAAAGGTTGCGTAAGGTTGCGTGTGTGTGTGCGCGCAAGTGTATTGGGTTACATGGCCGATCTAAGGCTATATCCCTGTTTTCATCAGCTGAGTGA